ATGTGTGCAGCATTAGATTAGTCTGGGAGTTCCATCATGTGGGGAAATACGCTTATTTGCCTCCTGGCAGAGTTTTAGATGAGAAGATCAATACCACTCTCATATCTGTCGGTCTACAGCCTGCAGCCAGTTAGCTTAGACCAAAGACTGGAAAAGGGGCAGAACAACTGGCTTGTCTCCTTTCGTTGTTAACAAATTCCACCTCTCAGCACCTTTTAAAGTTCTCTAATTAACACCATATTCAGTTTGTTTAAACTGTACAAAAACTGAGTATAAAAAGTGTAAAAATGACAATTTGGGGTGCCCTGGTAGCTCACCTGGTAGAGCTGGCCCACCCTGTATACCAAGGCTAGTAGAGCTGTCCTACTGTATCTAATAAAGGCAAAAAAAAGCCCACCCCTAATATATTTAAAAAAAAAAAAAGACAATTGGCTGTTTTACTGGGGAGTTATGTGCCAAACTATTTCTTGGCTCTAAACACTAACTTCCTGTAATCTCTGATGGTTGCCTGGCAACGGCTCCCAGCCAAGAAATAGAGGTTGACACTGGGTTTTGGGATTGTTTCTTTCTCACACAGGATCAGACTTGTGATCAAACATATTCATCACACCACATTTGGTGTTATGCCGTGTGCCATTGCTGAAGAAACGTTTGAGTTCACCTCATCCATTTTATTTTTAGGCTGACCGCATGCTCAAGTGATCATCACCATCAGCCAATTTCATTTACAGTAATGTAATATTTAAGTATACACAGAAATACTTACTTAAACAAAACAAAATTTTCACTGGGGAGTAGAGACTTGATTAAAATCATTAAAATTAAAATTGATGCTTCCCTAGGTACCAGATATTTGGTGTGTATATATGTGTGTGTATGTGTATATATACACATATGCATCTACATAATTTTTTATTAACAATCATGTATTGGGTTGATTGGGATTTTGATTACTGTAAGATTATATAGTTATATAGAGTCCTTGAAGGTAATCACACCAGAAAAAATGACACACAACTACCCTTTGCCGTCAGCAGTCGCCCAATTTGCACATACAAAGAGAGAGAGAGGAGAGCCCTAGTTAATTAATCAGAAACTACAATGTCAATTATTAACCATTCGCACCACTACTGATCTCAGGTCTCTTTAGGTGTCCTCCTTCTGGCTGGCTCCTTCTACCTGCATTTCTGCGAAGGCTTTTAATGCAGCACTACAGCACTTTTAATTGTATTTGTATGTTATGTATGTGTTATGTATTGTTTTATGGCTTTGTTGTAAAGCACTTTGGGTACCTTTCGGCTATTGTAAAGGGCTATACAAATAAACTTGATTTGATTTACCATCTCTGGACCCTCTAAAAAAAGCAGAAATATCTCACCCTAACAGTAGATTTGTTCCTAGTTTAAGTTTTAAGTACTGAAATTTCTTGTCAATATGGACATTTTCTTTCCTATTCACTCTATCC